AGAGAAAGATAGAATTATGTTTCATCTGACCTTAGCAAGAGCTGCAGTTGTTGATTTACTACTAGACTGTTCAAAAGAATTCATACTTTTTATTTAGTATTTTTTTTATTTATGTATTTATGCATGATGTTTGTAATTCAAATTTTCTTTGACTTACAGCAGCTTTTTGCATTGTTAAATTTTTGTTAAATTTTGACTTATTTTTTATACTGATCATAACCTTGATATGGAAAGTTAACGTTCCCTTTACCATTCAGGGTGCCCTATTTGCTGATCCATTTGTTGGTCAGTAATACTGTCCCTTTGTCCATGCTCAGAAAGTTTTTCTTTTATAACTTTAATCGTTTTAGCATTGAACTTTTTTGTTCATCCAATAAAGCTGAACTTATTAAGTAGGAATATTTAAAAAAAAAATTGCTATAGTAATCCCAGTTTTTAAACAAATCTTTTGAAAAAATGTTAATCTCTGTGATTCAAAACAAAATCACTTGCAACCAGGAAGTGTTGTTCCTTCTTGTCATAGCAGATTTTCCTATCACTATGAAAAAGTACTCTTTTAAAATTTTCAACTTTTATTTCAAAAGAAAGAGGGATGAAACTTAAAAAAAACTGTAAAATCACTTATTTTCATGGAGTCAATAGCTTTTATGGTTGAAGATCTGTCTAGTCTTTATTATAATTTTAACTAATTGAGGACATGAATTCCTGGGTTCCTTTCACACCATGAAAAACAACAAAAGTTATATCCCCATAAAAATAAGTGATTGCACAGTATTTCATGTTACCTTATCATGAGTTGTGTGTTTGTTGAATTATTAGTATACTTTTCTAAAGTATTGGTTTAATTGACTATTCATGGTTTGTTGGTTTGTAAATAATTTCAACATCTATCTTCCTGCTTAATTTTGTCCTCAAGTTCTCATAACCTTGATGTGGAAAGTAATGCCCCACTTACCACCTGTTTGTAAGTCTATTTATGTCAGTTTGCCAATGCATTTAAAGTTTCTTATATTACTTTAATCCTTTAATCATTATGAGGTATGTTGTATTTTGTCAGCTATCTAAAAATGAAGTAATTAAGGTAATGAATTAAAACTGCACTTGTTGAAAACTAATTATTGATACATCATATCCAAGGGGTTATACTAGGCCAGCATTGTCTTTCATTTTTTATTATAAACAATGTGCCATACTTTTAATATAGGCTATTTTTTTTAATTTCCAGGTGTTTATCACTCTGGTTTCTGAAAGCAAACATGATAGCAATTCCATGTTAAAGGTTTTTTTAGTTGTAGCATTAAGCAATATGACTATAGAAGTATATTTTTTTCCTTTTAAAAATGACATATAGGTTTTTTAGTTTTTTTTTTTTTTTTGGATGTTTTTAAATGTTATGTTGATCTGAGTTTTTATTATACGTGTACTATCAAAAAGAAACACTATACGTGTACTATCAAAAAGGAACTTATGTAAAATCCAGTATTTATTAGCCCCTCCCCCAATACATTGTGATAGAAAGAAAATAGAAAAGTTCCACTTTCTTTCCTCTGACATGAATGTTTATGTTTGAATTCCTTGATTTTTAAATGATACCTCATATGCTTTTACATATAAACTTCATGATTATTATTATGTATATTTTATTATATTTTGCACATTATCTTGATCTATTAATATCAACTGGAAAAAAGTATAATATAATTATAATGAATTGGATAAATGAAATATATTTATTCACTGATTTCTCTTTATTTAGTTGACCACTACTAGATCTCTTTTACTCTACTACACTAGCTGTATTGTAAAATCCATAAAAATCTGTTGTGATATTCAATATTTACTTAAAATGGATTTTTTTCCTTGTACATGTAATTTTAAAAGTACATTGTTGGGTTATTGTGAGGTTTATTTCTTAAAATTTCTTAAAATTTCTTAAAATTGGAATTTTCCTATTTTTAGTTCTTATGACTTTTTATTGATCAAAGATCATTATAATTATGATTTTTTCCCAACATGACGAGCATGCCATTGTTCTCTCTTACAAACATATTTAATTAAGCCCACCAGAGCCAAACTTCTCCTAAAATCATAGTGAAAAAAGTTTCTACATTTTATCAAAGCAATCATGTGATTTTTGATTGGCCAGTTTTTAATGTTCGACTGATTTGTTAAAAAAATTATTTGTTACTTGTTAGCATTTCATGGCTGTGGGAATAAAATTATTTTATAGTTTATAGTTCCTGTTCCTTAAGTAAAAATTGCAAAATTTTCCGGAAAATTTGTATTTTGTAATTATATGTATAATGAGACTCGGATATGGAAAGACTTTAAACAGGTCGAGACCACTAGCTTTTCTGACGTCAGCATAAATTTGCATGTAAATTAGCTATCTGTTTACTTTACCCGCTGATGAATGAGTCGCAATGCATTGTGGGCTACTACAAGTACTCAGTTGTGTTGAAAATAAAGGGCAACTTGAATTGTCCCTTGGAAACTCATTTTCAATTCTTTTTTGAGATTTATGAAAGAAATATTTAAAATGATGTATAGTCTTTCATTTCCATGCTCACATTTACAAAATTTGCTTTAGGAAGCCTTATATCAACTTATAATACATCGGCCTAAACCATTGTTCAAAGAGACGTAGGTGCTATCGTGTCAATAAAGCATTGAGGGGTTTTTTCCCCCACATGATATACGTGTACATAGTTTTAGACAGCAGTACAAGGTGCGCAATTATTATTTAACCCCTCAATATTATCAAAAAGTTTTTATGTACATGCAAATGTCAAAGCGTTTGTATGGTATTTGAAGCAACTATTAATCATCTAAAACAACTCCAATATTAAATGTGAGCATGGAGCAGTGTCTTTGAAATATAATCTTTCAATTTTGGCCTTATAAAGTGAAAAAGAAGCTCTACGGTTTTTCCGTTGACGAAGTAAATATTATGCTGTAAACCGACGAAACCACGCGTCGCTATTGAATCGTAAACACGTAGTAGACTGTCATGCTTTGGGACTCATTCAATTGATTGGAGAACGGGTGTGACGAAGACATCGTCACGTGTTGAAAATTGCCTTCCATATAAGGTAGTGTACCCGACCTGTTAAAGCTCTAGAGATGTATTTGTGTCGCCGATTGATGTTTTCAATTTACTTATCTGATAGGCAAAAAGCCATAACAAATTATGAAATCTGATATTTTATCGAAAAATAAAGAGAGAAAAAAATGCATCAAAGAATTTAAAAAAAATATATTTGTAGGTATTTATATACATGTACTGCATCAATTGGAAATTTTTAAATTTTGCTTAATTAATCAGAGAATACAGAAACCGGTAAATAATTAGGCAGCGATTGTGAACTTAAAGATAAACGGAAAATTTAAAGTAAAAAGAGAAGAAGAAATTATACTGCAGATCACTAAAGAACAATGTACGGTTTCAATACAAATCTTGCCCTATATTTTTCTTAAATATGAAAGTGATGGAAAACATTAAAACTCATGTTTTCTGAATCATTAAAAGTCCATGCAGAAAGATCATAAAAATCATTTTTTCTCACATGACCTTCTAAATGCTAACTGTGACGTCATAAACTTGTGCATTTTCCCGTATAAAAGTTGCAGAAGACATCAAATATCAATGGAATTTTCTTTCAGATAATGTTGTCCACAGGCATCGCCCACAAAGATTTTGAGATATGTGGTTTTTCAAAGAATTTTACACAACATATCCAAAAATTAAAGTGGGCGACAGCTGTGGACACTATTTTTTAAAGGAAAATAACCCTTGAAATGGGTCATTTTGAGGCTTTTTCTGCTTATAACAGAGAAATGCATCACATTAATGACGTCTTAGTTCCAGAATGGTCCTCCTTCATTCCATATTCTTTCCTGATTTATCACAGTCATATATTCAACTCATATTTAAACCAGTTTCCAAACTTTTTGAAAACATTAAATTTTTAGGGCACAATAAAGCCAAAACCGTACATTCTTCTTTTCGCGACACCTTATTTTGGCGAGGTTGTCTGGTATTTAAAAGCGAAACAAAGTTTTCACGAATTTTGGGTATTGTACTATATAATCTTTAATAATAGAACTATACGCGGGAATGAAATTCGCGTAATTACGCTCGAAAATAGAGTTATCGCGAATAAAAAAGTGATTTACAGTGCATAAAAGACTTTTGAAAAAAGAATATATTACCAGGTTACAAAATCCCGCTGTTTCACATCATTAATGCACGGGGAAAATAAAAAAAAAAATAGATACACAAATACAGTATGTCCACTTACATACATGTACAACATATTAATTCCTTTTTTCATTGATAAGAGACTTTGTTGCAGAAAGGGTGTCCTAAAATCAGAAAATTGGCTGTTACTTAAAAACAAGTGAAATTTCAAACATGAGAAAACTGCATCGGGTTCGAATCGCGACATGTATTCAAGCAAATCGATGGAAGCGTTTTCGAAAAAAAAAATCTTGTTAAAATGTACATGTATGCCATAATAATGAGTGAAAAAACTTATTTGAATAATAAAAAAAAGTCTTCCTATGAAGATGAATGATTCTCATTATGTTCATTCTGTTTCAATTACATCGAATTGTACACTGTAGTTTGAAGTTGAGTTGGCGTGACTTCCAAGAAGTATTTCAGTTTAATATGTCCCCCTCTTTTGAAGTTGATTTGGCACGACTTCCAATGTGTACCTCAATTTAATGTCCCCCTCTATTGTTTATTTTCCTTAAACTGTTGATCACCGGCTGTTTCTCGCGTTTTAAATTTCAATTTCCGTATTTCTTTCAATCCATTGAGTTTAATCACAGCGTAATGTATTTAATGGCAATTCTTGTTCCTTCGTAAATGTGGATTATTGAAATTTTCAATTGCCTTTATCAGTGGTATTATGTGTGCCATTTCATTATATCTCATTTAAACGATGCACTCATTTAACTCTGTTCAGTATTTTCTGCAAATGTTTATAGTTACTTTAACAACAGCAAACGCATTTTCCATCTTTCTCGCTATGTTTTTTACAAGGGCAGTCTACTTTGGTTCGGGACAAAATGTGGTAAAATGTCTCATATCTATGAAGCAACATCCCAAAAAACTGAAGCAAGAGCATGAGAGAAAATATTAACAAAAAGAGAAAACCAAGAGGCTCAATCACTATTGGCGGACCTGATGGCTGTGGAATCGTTACATTTATGAGGTTCTTGATTTCGTTCATGGAAATCATAATAGCTAGCCACAGACCATTCAGAAATAAAAAGGCAAAGACTGCTTTGTATCGGAACTCTGACAATTTCTCTGTATCATTCTTCTTTTTATCTGGATCATCATCTATGGGACGAAGATATGTAGAAATTAGTGTATTCCAAAACTGCTCTTCCCTCTGATCAAGCTTCTTCGTTCGAATTTCCTCAGTTTCGTTACTTGTCCACGATACTTCGTCAATCTGGGTCAGTTGGGAAGAGGGATGTGCGCTTGATCCTGGGGCGCGTCTATTTCTGTCATAGCCCTTTTTAAAGATACTTGGTCCACGAACACCTTCAAAGGATGATTTATGCACATCCTTAGACATGTTATCCGTTCTCTCAATAGGTTCTTCAGGTACATCCTTTGTCTTTTCGTTGATAGCTTGAACAGATTCTAAAGACTTCAGTAAGACAAGATTTTTGAACCATTGTATTATGGAAATTGATGAATTTGATACAGTTTTCCTTGCTTGCTCAACCATTCCTTCAATCATTTCTGTTGTCACAAAATATATTTCTTTTTCTGTCTCTCTTCTTCTGGACCGCCTATCGGCATGTTTCAGTACAGCAGTAGTATTTTCCCTTGTTCCCCAAGAGATGTTGTTTAGATTGCAGATTGCGTAAATAATCAAAAACAAATAACCTGCCGGAATGCATATGAAGTAAAGCAAGCCTTTTAGAAGGTCTCCAAGCTCGTCAGGGTGCAACAATCCAGCAATTATGAACATCCCCGTCAAAATGTAGAAAAACATTCCCGTGGGTGTAAACCAACCGTCTTTGAATATCGACACAAGCGTCCCTGCTAAAACAGCCATCATAAGAAGAGCATAGGCCGTGCTCAAAGCCATCGCAACATTCAATTGTGTGTCATCCTTACACTTCAAGCAGACTATTACAAAAATTATTACGGGGCAAAATATTATTGTATACGTCAACCACGCTTGGATTCCAAAGACGGTACCGAGAGCCGATTGAAGAGCCAAAAGAACTGTTGAGGGTCCGAATAGTGAAGATAAAAATAAAATAACTTGATAAGTTACAAACAAATAAGATATATTCGGATTCATCTTAGTTGTTCTTGAGGAACTGGAAAGGAGGTCCATTAAATTTGCCATTGTGGATGGAATCCACCTTCTTCTTTGTTTAAAGAACTCTTTAAAGTCTTCTGGAGCAAAAGTTGCCGCCTCTGCTGCTGCACTGTATTCGATTTTATATCCTTGTTGCAGCATTAGAGTAGACAGCCAGCGGTCCTCGCCTGCTCAAATTTCAAAACAGTTGTCAGATGATGATTCAAGGGGAAATACTAGTAATAAGATTAATTTTTATTAAATATTTCACGGTATACTTAGAACATTACCTTGGTCATACTGAATGTAGTGGCGTGGTTCTGTTGGTAGTGTTGCATAAGTACGCATGATGTTGTCGTCCATCAAGGTTTTCACTCTGAACAAGCTAAAACATCCGGGACTACATAGGACACTCCCAAACACGTGTTCTGCAGACTTCTGCATCCAATGGCCCACAGCGTATTCAAACTTCTGATACCAGACAACAGGCCCTGGGAAAAATAAGTTGTTTATTATTTTTCAATCGTATTAGTTATTTACATTTAAGAGATTTTGTACAATTTTGTCTAAAATGTTTCCACCAAAATAGAGAAAAATATGCTTTTTTTTTTTTTTTAAAAAAATCATCAAACGAAACCCTTGTTTAGAAGAAATGTTTGAGAAAGTATAACTGAAATGGACTGCACCATACCCGAACCACATGGTTTTATACGTCCACAAACAGATCCCACTCTAAAATTGACTTTCATCCGGTCAATTAGAAGTTGCAAGGTGCTTGGCTGAAAGTCTACATCTCCATCTAGTGCAAGGATAAACCAGTTCTCCGCCTTTTGATTTAAAGAAGAATTCTTATACATAAACGTGATTGTTAACTTACAGCTTTTAATCTTAATCCGTATACTAGCATTCGTGAAGATTAAGGTTCTGTTTAATTTTTTCCTCCTAGAGTTTAGATACATGAGCAATAAAGAGGGAGATTCTGCTGGGATTTTAATTTTCCATGAAGCTACTTTACAGAGAAATCATTCAAAAATTTTAATGTACATGAATATTTTTAAATCGCTATAGTCACAGTAAATTAGGAAAAGGTTAAACTTACCTTTTCTCTTAAATTTATTGGAAGAATTTCAAAGATGGATTGTGTTGGTTTCGGATTCTCAATTTTGTCTCCTCCTGCACACTCAGTGATTAACTTGTAACCAACGATGTAATATATATACATGATCTGTGAATGAAAATTAATGATGTTGAAGTTAATGCCCATAACCTTCCAGTTTAAGAATGATATAACGGCGTAAGATATATATCCTTTAAACAATCTACTTAGTGCATTTCTTTTGTCATAATACACATTTTTAAACACTCGGATTAATAATCATATACAGGAAAAAGAGACACTGTAAAAAATGTGAATTTAGTTTACTTTTTAAAATCATGCTGTATAAAGAAATGATTTGAAGTAATCTCTCTTTCACCTGATTATTCAGCATGTCATTTTCTGCTTAGTTTAAGCATAAATAATTTATGCAGTTATGAAAACATTTTTTTTATAGATATAAACCGTTTGAGACACGAGTCCGACTTGTCTCTCAAACATCGGAAAACAGTTTAAAACGTTCATATATGGCCATACAATAACTCATCCGACTAAAATATGTATTTTACAAAATACTTTCTCCCCTTAAATTTATCATTGGAATTCTAAAGTGTACCTGTGACCAACGCTTTTTGTGTCTTATTTTTCCTTTGAATTTTAGATGAACAACGAGTTTACATTCTTTCGTCAGATTCCATTCCACACGACCTCCATATGGTGTTGCGTACTTTGAAGGAGATCCTAAGTTCACATCGAAATCACTGAAATTTAAAAAAAAGTTATTACGTTTGTCAGAACAGTAAGAACTACACTGTAGCCATTATCAAGTTCTTTTCAATTGATCTGTATTACCTGATTTGATTAGAAAAATGGGATGTTTAGATGCATAATTAATTAGCTGTGCTCCTATTTCAATATTTTCATATTGGTAGAAATGCAAACCTTAACCTAAGAGCGTGTCCTTCATTTTTGCAATGTTGTAATATCCTGCTATCACCTGCATATACTGTTAATTCGATACTCAAGAACACTGACAGGCTACTGACAGATACGTTGATAATACAATGACCTTGTCAGCAAATACAATCTATTATTAAGTTAAATGCTGACTGACTTTTTTCATACTATTTGTTTGGCCATTATTTACACACTGAATTGTCTACGGATTTTTCCGTTATTTCCCCGATCATGACAAGGAGCACACGGCGGGTATGACTGGTCAACAGGGAATGCTTTTTCCTCCTAGGTATCTGATCCTACCTCTGGAACTTCTTGGTGTCCGTGTTTATGCCCTCTTCACAGATTTGCATTGTTTATAGATTTCTTTTAGATCAGTCAGTGTTGGTTATCTTTACATTTTTCATTCCTATCAAATGCTCTTTTAAATAAGGCTTTGCTCACAGAAATTCCACGGGTTCAGATACTTTAAAGATGTTAAAACACATATTTTCAAACCAAATTCAAATGTGGAGTACAATTAAAAAATATTATTTACATATTCTAAATAGTTATGTATAGTGCCATTCTATTGATATTTATGAAATATCCTACAAATGGTTTATAGTACCAGTGGTACCATGACATTATCATGCTACACAAAGCTGATCTCCTTACATTCCCACTTCTTCTACAACCTCCATGAACTGTCTGACAAAGTCGTTCTCTTTAAGATCCAGTCCATTTGCCCCCATTTTGGAAGTCTCCATGGCATCATCAAACATTATATGAGCTGAATATAAGATGAATTTACATTGGATATTTTATCATTAAACATAAATTAAATGTGTCGCATTTTTTTCTTCAATATTTAAATTTAAGGAATATATCATATAAGTAAATTAAATGCAGCCAAGGCAATTTCATTTTTTAAAGGAACTAAATTATTACCTTCAAATCCATAGTTCCGCTGTACATCACGTATCCTGAAAATCAAAAAAATACTACATCGAATTAAAATGCATTTCATGAAAACATTGTTTGTCAAAATCCAAACCAATGCCTCAGTCATAACTTTGGAAATGCATTAGCTAACAACGTCATGAATATTTTTAACAGAACCTGAAGATTGAAGACAGTAACTGTTTCATTTCAGTCCTATTCTCATGCCACATTGTAGCACAGATGAAGACTTTAGTGCTCTCAGGGTCATCATAAATTTCTAATTCTTTCTTCCGTCTTATTTTTCTACTGTGCAGCAGTGAAAGATCCACCAATGGACCACAGAAATTTGGAAAGACAAACAACCTGTAAAGAAACTTATTCTCTTAATATTGCATTATCATGCAATGTCATCGTATAATTTTTGCTTTCTTGTGCAATGCCACTCTTTGGTTATGAAATGAAAAACAGGAATATCAACAAATTGATAATGTTTGTTCAGAATGTGTGAATCAATATCACATCGATGAATCAGCAACCTAGAATGTAAATATGTAAGTTTTATTTAAATCTTAAGTAAACAGGGAAACCATATTATCAATCTTTTTATTTACTATATTTGCATAACCTACTTGTTCGCCGAAAAAAGAGTTTCTCCGTGTTGGACCTCCCAAATATGCTGAACCATATTTAGTTGACTTAAACAAGCCACAAGAAAAACAAAGAACAGTATCCAATTCGTACTGTTATTCATAAATTCAAAATATCGGTAGATGAAATCTTTTTCCTCGTTCTTCAATATAACTACTAAGATAACATAGATGGGAGAAGCTATGGAAAGAGGGACTGAATATCCTATTCTCTGCATCTGAAGTCTACAGGCTAATACTCCGACATGCATTGTCAATATTGCTCCGATGACATGTGCCAGAAATGGACCAAGGACTTCCCAGAGAGGGATGCCTTCATCCACACATGCTGAGATGTTTTTGTACTTTTGGTGGGATGAGATGACTGTTCTGTTGGGAGACATTGTGCAGTTGGCGGGAATGAGGCCTTCCATTTTTGATGTTGACATGAACATGCGATAAACATCTTTGATTTCCCGAATTCCCGGGCAGAGTATTGTCCAAAATAAAGCAACAGTTATGCAAATCCTCAGAAACCTCGAGACGAATTTAATAACTGCATAATTTTCCTCCCTGTTTATTGATTCGTTCTCATCCTCTTTGTTTCGCAGTTGCGGGATCCATCGACTAGATAATGTAAGAATAGATACAATCGTCCATACCAAAAGCTCCCCAACGTCTGGATCCCGTGCATGTATATTCTTTCTTTCTGAAGTACCAACAGAAACCAAAAGTATTACAAGTGATATAAGTAGGACCACGGAGCTTATAATATTCAGAGAAATTTTAATCTTTCTGCATATTTCTCCCTTTTCTTCTTCTTTTCCTCTGCAGTACATGACCATATGAATAAATCCTGGGAGGAATGTAGTGGCGTTGATAACAACACATGCTTGTATAGGATCCATGTAAGGAAGAACCAGAAAAATAAGAACAGCCAAGCCAAAAGAATGCAAGCATTCTCTAATTATTATCTGAAATAAAAACACCCATATATACGTTATATAAGTAATGTTGCTTAGTCACATACAATATCAATCGACAGCCTTAAAACACAAATAGTATAATAGATCTATTGAAGCAATAGCATTCACTAAAATATCAAATCTAAATCAAGAACGCTCACTTTATGGTGCAGGGGATATTCCATACCTTCATTGTAATATCCCAAGTAGCCGTTTTTCTATTTCCTAGCATAGCTTTCCACAATTCATTTAGACAATTTAAGAGGTCAGGGGTAATAGTTGAGAAGAAAAGTAAGTAAGATATCAGATCCTGATTCACAGTTCTCTAAAAATGCAAGAATTCCATTCAATGAATAATTAAGAAGATTAAGATATACAAGATTGTTATTTTTATCAATGCAATTATATTAGAAAAATCAAATCGATAATCTTTATTGATAAGATTGCCACTTTCTCTAAATTCTTTTTCACTTCTTAACATTTAAATGAAGATGACCTACATTAGGGAATTTGTTGTGCTGTCCTAGGATACTTGTCAAAACTTGTAGACCACCTTTGGCAAAGACCACTCCGGTGGTGATAATAAGCACCATGAAGATGTAGGTCAAGACTTTTAAAATTTTAGGAAGAATCTGGTTGACTCTTTTGAGATCATCTCTTTCCTGTGGCCAGTGATCCATTCGAAATATATCCCATTTCGGGGAGTGTTGTCTTCTGAAGGAAAATGGGTCAATCAGATAATGACAATTATGACGTCATAAAGACTTGTTATTTGAATAGTATAATATGGGAATTCTTGACTTGTTACCAGTATATTTTCCTCGTACAAGACTATATGGCACTATTTATCAAACAAGATTTATTCAAAGTTTTAAAATATACAAGTAAACATTTACATTTTTTCTCTCTTGAAATTGTTTACGATGTTCCAGACGCGTAATATATAACATACTCATTTGGACAGACATTTTCGCTTTGATACAGCAACAACTGTTTGAGGACATTACATGTTTAACATGTCCAATGATAATTTATTGTTTAGTTTAATATTCTTACGATAGCCCCTCTGCCATTTTGTATCAGGAATGATGACCCAGCTGTAAAGAAAAAAAAGAAATGTCTAAAAATGTCAGGTAAACACAGCACATCAAATTTTATTTTTATCCAAGAAGGTCCAAAGGTATACATGTATATTGACTGCATTTTGGACACACACACCCCTACTCTCTTTTTTTCCCCTAGAAAAAAAAAGTTAATATATAAAGAGAAAATATTTTTACTACGTCAAAAATGCGGACTTTTTTGATTTATATAGGACTTATTTATTTATTTTATTTTATCAAGTTATATATTTCAGTTCTGTGCCAGAGATGCATTATTTCAGTTTTCATTTTTTTTTAAATCTGGGGAAATGATTGAGGATTAAAAAAACCGTTTACGGGTAAAAATATCGGTAAAATTGCTTCAGTACCGTTTCAATAATATATTCAAGCTTTTTTTTCAATAATAGTCATTTTAGCAATATTTTTGTTTTTGAGCACAAGAACATAAAAAAAGTGGAACAAAGGTATAAACATTAATTTTGAAAAAGTTATCTTAGATAGTGAAGAAGTGGTTCTGCATGCAAAATAAATTGAAATGAAATGATGACAAATAAAATCGTATTTGCTTTGAAAAAAGCACAGAAATTATCATTTTTGAGTTATTATTTATAAGATACACATGTGCATGTGTATGACTTACCAAGAATATCATTAATCGACCAAATGAATACCAAATGTAGACTCATCAGATTTTTTTTAAATTACACAAAAAGACAAAAATAATCTGGTTTTTAAACATTTTGCTCTATAGAAAGAATTATTATTATTATCGTATCTTTCTTCTTACATGAAACAAATATATTTTACTCACTTAACTTCTCTAACTTGATCAATACAGCATTCCTTATTTGATATCAAGCTCTTGTCCTGCTATTGATGCGTCCAACATGTCGTTATAGGCAAAAACTGCTATCCTCAACCTCAGACCACTGCTTTAGTTAACACCGGGAAATATTTTGTGACTCAATTAGTTCACAAATTATATTAAGTCAATATAATTTTTTTTCTAAAGATATATATCATATAACAATTCCTTTTTAAAAATTTTATTTGATCGTTGAACCTTTTCTTTTTCAATCATGCCAATTCTACTTGTGAAGATCGCTTTTATGAGATTTTAATTTCCTTATGTATTCTTTTTTTTTACCAGGAAATTTCAGTAAGCAAAAGACGTTTAACAGATTAAAGTTCATTTCTTAAGAATATTTTTTTTTTAATTTTTGTTTCCGCAAATATTGGTGTTTAAGAGGCCTTGGTTCTGGAGTTTTACGCCCTAAAACCTTTTTAGAAGTAAATATGACTATAGGTCAAATCGCACGAGCGGCGCAGTGGTTAGATTTGTACGTTCAAGACTTTCCTAAAATTTCGATATACATTCGAAATTCTGGATGATTTTACTGAGAGAGTTATTTTTCAACGAATTTCTTTTTTTTTATTAAAATAAAATCCATAGAAACAAATATTAGACTATTGTTTCAAGGAAAGAAATATATTACAAGGATGCATCAGGAAATTTGACATAACGATAGAAATTTTATCAGTTCAAACTTTTTTTAGATAGCGGCAGCCTATTTGGTAGGTAGCCAAATTCAGATTTGAATTATACATTGCTCACATTTTCTCCAAATCAGTGAGGTTGAAAACTTCTTAAACCCATAATCGGTAGAAATGCGGGGTGATTCATCCGCATCACATTACAAGCTATTATAAATAGGTGAAAGAAAATCAACGATAAAAATTGTTTTGAAAAAAATTAAATTCATCGTAGATTTACTATGTGAATTTTTTTTTTATTAAACATTCATTAAACAATTACTCGTATGGCATAACAAACTTTGACAGCATAATACTGTGACACCCTCATCCATTTCCCATTTCCAGCTTTTAAAAAATGGAACAAAACATTTAAAGTTCTTATAGCTTCCGTGATCTTAGGAGCTTTTAGGACCCACGTGTTTCACAAATATTGATAGACCTAATTGATGTCCCAATCTTCCGAAGTATTTACAGAATTGTTAAGTTTAGATTCCTATTTTTCCATGCAGTCTGCACATGCAGTTATTTTGTGCAGTGAACTGTTTTTTTTTAATGGTATTAAATTACATAATAAATTAACTGTCATGAATTCTATCATCATATTTGACAAATAAAGCAAATATATTGTGAAAGTCCAGGGAAAAAATAGCCCCAATTAAAGCTTAAAATTAACACTTTATTAGTAATATCTAAAAATAAACATCACAGACCCCCACTTTTAATTTTCTTTTCTGAATATATTTGGTAATTTTAACCATTCTGATTAAATTCAGTAAAATGAAATAACTTTCAAGTGATTTTATTTCTTGCTGAATTTTTTATGCCAGAAAAATGATATTTATGAGTGCAGAAAGGTCAAATAATTGACCATGCGAAGTAATTAAAAACTTTTTTGTTGTCACATATTTAATTTGTCTATTCAAGATGAAATGAGACTGTGTTTGTTCCATATTAGAGGAAAAACTTTGAGAAATTTATTTATGTGTTAGACGTAATTACAGTGCAAAAAGGTCATATGAAATGCTCCATAGCGCCAAAAGAAGCGCATTAACCCATTTCGTGTGCTGGTTTTTAATTGAGCTATGTGTGTAGATTCTAAAAATATACTTGATAAGAAATTCTCAATACTTTTGATAGCAGGATCTAACCTCCTTAAAACCGTTCTCATGAAATATTTTTTGTAATGAAATTCATGTGCTTTGCCTTTTGACTAGGAAGTTTCTTCCCTATGAGTTCTAAAATTTACAGACTGACATGTAATTTTATTATGATTTATCATAACGCTTATCAAACTGATTTCAGTATGTATAATATTTCTGCAATCAGTATTTACAAGAATGATTTTTTGTCTATTTTTTATTATGCAGAATATTTTTTTTCTTTTTTGCACAAATCCTCTAATATCAATACACCCAGTGAACCTTTAAGTTACACGAATTAAAGTTCAACTCTTTAGTAAAATGCATTAACATTAATTATGGAGGGATGATTCGATCAGTATTTCTGAAAATGAAAGTTTATTTTCAAATATGCAATTGTTTATGAAGAGATCTGGTCTTTTTAAAATTTATTTATCAAAGACAAAATTTGCTTACTACGGTGCCACATCGAACTTAACTTAATAAGTAAAACTGACACATATTTCAAGTTTATAATGGTTTATTGGCGGTTATGGCCACTAAATTTATTTAAATTCAATTGCACATATTACATCAAATCATTTTTTTTTTGTTTTGCAATGTTTATGTAAGCAGATAATCTTATTGACCTATTGATCTTTACTTACAGCGTATTTAATTTTTTAAACATTATTTTGTGCAATTAAATGTCCTAAAGGAGAGGACGTTCTAAGTTTTAAGAACTTGTGTCTGATCCTTTTATTTTAACATCTTAACAATAAAATGTGTTCAAACCAAACCATTGACATTCTACAATGTATATTATCCACCAATGGCTGAAAGGGAGATTACTATTTCATAAGCAAGAATGCTCAAAGGCTGAAATGAGGACAATACATGTACTCTTTTCAGCGAGATCTGTTAGATATCTATCTATCTATCTATCTATCTATCTATCTATATATATATATATATCTATATAGTTAACTAATTTCACTTAGTAAACTATACTTTTCCATCGAATATACTCTGATACTTTTACACGTATTAATTTGGATAGTTTGTTTCTTCACAATCATTTTTGTACTTTTATAAAAGTCTCTATAAAATAATTAATTTGAAGTTTATTGTCTCATAAACTCAAAATAGCGGTAGCCACGTGAAACTGAACACATACTCATGACGATATAATTAATGATTGGTCAGAAAAAGAATAAACACAATTATCAATGCCAAGGTTGAATTTTATCAAATCAAAATATATTTACTTTTAGTAAGATGCAATTACAAAATTATATTGTAATAATATATTTTTATAAATATTGCAAGGAACATTCTCAGCCAATCAAAATAAATATAGCCATCTGCTTGTAAAAATAACACCATTGGTACTCCACAATTATATTGCTTCAGGTGTATAATATTGCTAGTTATGGCATTTAATATTAATATTCTACTGACTTTTATGGACATGAAAATTTAATTCTAAAAAGACTTTTTCATATAATTTTTAAAATGATAGTTAATGTACTTGTGAAAAACATATTTCTACAAATATTAGACTAACAAATCGATGACACACCGAAGAAGGTCAGAGTTGTTGTGCTAATAAAATGAATATTAAGAAAAGTTCAGAATTTCAAAGCTAACAACAACATCAGCTTCAAAAAAGGACCTTTAGAGAATCATTTTTTTCCTCGATTCCTCGATGTACATTTTAATACATTTATTATTCAACCATTATAATCTTTTTTAAACCACCATCTCAGTATCTGACGTTTAATTTAATTGCTTTATAAATGGATATAAACTCTTAATTCAAATTCGAACCCATAATCTTGGTTATAAACTGCTTAACAAAGTCATTTTTATCTATACGATTTTGATATGTATGTGTATCGATGTTTGAGTTTACTTGATCGTGAAAAACCCATTTCTTCTCAAGAGCTAGCTCGAGAGCAGTAGTTTTTTTTATTTTCTTTCTTTTTTTTTTTTTTTTTTTATTTTTTTTTATGGGAATGACTCAACACTTACCTTATATCTGTTATAACAATTAAATATTTATCATATAATTATACATTTGTCTTATACTACCATATTGAAATTATAAGCAGTACAATCTCAAAGAAGTTTTGATTACATAAAAGGTTATATATATTTTTTTATATTTTAAAATTTTGATTTTAAAAGTATTTTTTCCTCATAAACGGATCATTATGCCACTTTGCTTAATATTTTTGAAAGCGAAGATGGATAGCTGTTTTAGAGAAATAAATGTATATAATAATTACACATTTGTTCTGGGACATAACTTTTCAAAAGTACATTCTTCAATACATTCACTATCAACTTTTTTTTGGAATTCACAAGAAAATATATCTATAAAAAATTCCGTATCGTGGATAGCAAATTGGAAATCATATTTAATTAAATAAAACAAGCAATTGTATTTCTTATTATATTAAGAAGAACTTGAAAAATTTTAATAAGTAAGATAAAATAATAAGAACTTGATATAGTCTTAAAACATTTTGAAATTTTGATTTACTTTTATTAACAATAGCTTACTATCATAAACTATACTATTACTACAATGTGTTTTTGAAAAAAAAATCGTATTAGATTTCAAAGGTATGACCAAAATGATGCACTTACTAATTTATTTTTTTTTTATTTTAAGTGAAGTGTTATAATTGTCACATAGCCCTTATTGTGTTTTGTCATATAATGTTAAGAATCTGTGTGCGCATATGTTTGTTTATTAAAATTATGGTATTCTAATTTTTTTAGACTTTGGAATTCTTCAGAAAAAAAAATCAATCATGTTCAAATTTGAAAAAAAGTTTGTCTGTTATCCGTTGTATTCTGGTATGTTGCACTGCTGAAGTAAATATAAAATTGTGAATATTGTTTTCTAGAAGAAAAAAAATTCCTCAAAAAGGCTATCGAGTTTTTAATAACTGAAACAATGATAGGATTTTGATCCAGTTTATTAAATGTTGGAAATTCGAACAATTTTCAGAAGGTATTTCTAACCTATTTCATTACCATACTCTAACTCCTTCATTCAATTCAGTTGTCACGATTTTTATGCTTTTTATCTTTTCTTCGAGATTATATTTTCAAACAGCAGTTTGTTGTCGTTTTTTCCATAAAAATATTGTTTTAATTGCAAAATACACAGAGAATCTGAAAAAAACCTTCTTAAATGCATGGAAATGTTTATATGTTATTCAAGTTTTTCTCATCTCGTAAGGATGCAACAAGCATGCAATGAACAAAACTCCACAGATATAGAAAACAATCCTGTATGTGATTGGTTGATTGGTTGCAGTTTCCAGATCCTTGCAAGATTATTTCACTCATATGAGATGGCACCAGTAACAGGCGAAGGACTTTAAATTAGGGCCTTAACTCAGCATTCAGGGCCAATGAGCTGTGAGAGTTCTTTAGCGTGCTAAAGTTTTCATCAGAAAGACCGGCATCTTTCACTTCAATATTCGGAGCGCTAGGCAAAGGGACATTTGCTACCTATTTTATATCAATTTAGGTCTTTTACGGTCATGAAACCACTATCAGCCGAGCACGGTGTGAGCGCTCCACTGAATGAGGTTAAGCTACCGTGACGGTCCCTCTGGATTTGTGAATCGTCATTATTTGAATAAAGAAACAAGAGAACCCATGGATAGTTTTCACAGCTGTACTAAGTGATATTACAGCAGTCGACTGTCATAGAGTGTGTCCAAGCTTCACTTGTTACAACAGTCGACTGTCATAGAGTGTGTCCAAGCTTCACATGTTTTAACAGTCGACTATTATAGAGTGTGTCCAAGCTTCACATGTTACAACAGTCGACTGTCATAGAGTGTGTCCAAACTTCACATGTTACAACAGTCGACTGTCACAGAGTGTGTCCAAGCTTCACTTGTTACAACAGTCGACTGTCATAGAGTGTGTCCAAGCTTCACATGTTTTAACAGTCGACTATATAGAGTGTGTCAAAGCTTCACATGTTACAACAGTCGACAGTTACAGTGTATATACAAGCTTCACATGTTACTACAGTCGGCTGTGTATGTCAAAGTTTTACATGTTAAGACATCGAGAAGGTCAAATTATATCGAGGTTCTATTACTCGTTTGCTCTGCTAAAAAGGTATTGCGCGAGCTAAATGTCAAATCGAAGGAATCTTAACATCGCAAATTCACTGATAAAAAAAAAAAATTACAATTCGGTATAATATTAACAAAGTTGGAAAATGAAGTAAATCCGATGCAGTGACCCTATAATTGTGCATTAAATCTACTCTCTTTTTTTGGACAAGTTTATTTTTATTACTTTGCTAAGAAATGTTTTCTATTCAATATATTCCTATCGTAGCAGTAAAGAACGGGACCTCGGTTTCTAATGTCTCATCCGAAAGACCTGTGACTTTCACTTCTCGTTATCGATGTTATACTTTGGTTGAATAGGCGCAGCGAACGAGAATCGAACTCGGTATCTCTCGATCAGGAAGCGAACGCCACAACCACTAAGCTACTGCGACCGGTCCAAGGAGCGGAGAAGAATATTTTCAAAGAATTGATGCATCTTCTAGATATAATCAATAAAGCCCCGCAATTAAAACAGAGAACCTGATCCTGGGGCCATGAAATTCAAAAATTTTGGAATAGGCACCCTTGCTCATCTTAACTATGCATTTAGTTTGTTTGCTTAATACCCAGGAGCAGAGAAGAAGATTTTCAAAGATTTAATTCAATTTATAATATATTCAAAAGAACCAAATCAAAAACTCCTGATCCGGGAGCTAGGGATTTCAAAATTTTGAAAGAAGCACCATTGCCCATTATAACATGCAATCGGTATGTCTATTGAATACCCAGAAGCAAAAACAGATGCTTAAAATTTTCACCATCTGATCTATACATTCCTGCCTTAACACCAGAACCCCGACCCAGGGACAATGAAATTCATAATTTTGGGAAAAGAAAATTTTGTAAGAGGCAGTACTTTCTCATTATTACTATGCATTAGTTTGTTTGCTTAATACCCAGGAGCACAGAAAAGTATTTTCAAAGAATTCATGCATTTTCACTATACTCACAAAGAGCACCACGCTCCAGTACCCCTGTCTTTGGCCACAAATTTCAAAATTTTTGGAAGAGGGCTACTTGCTCATCACAACCATGCATTTAGTTTATCTGCTTATTAACCAGGAGCAGAGAAAAAGATTTTCAAAAGAATTTGCATTTTCAATATATACATATTCAATAGAGCTCCATCCTAACACAGAACCCCTGACCAAGGTGCCATGAACTTCACTATTTTTGAAAGAGGCACAATTTGCTCCTCATAACCATGAACTTAATTTATCTGCTAAATAGACAAGAGAGGAGTAGAATTTTTGCCTTTTCACTATATGAGCCCCACCTTACTCATGAACCCCTGTCCTTGGGGCATCAAATGTCATAATTTAGAAAAGCCACCCTTGCTCATCTTAGCTATGAACTTAGTTTATCTGCTTAATACCGAGGGGCAGAGAAGAAGCTTTTCAAAGAAATGCATTTTCATTGTCTAATCAACACAAGACCCACCCCCTCCCAAAAGAATTCCTGACCCAGGGACCACGAAATTTACAATTTAGGCAAACGTACCCTTGCTCATCATAACCAGGACTTAATTAATCTTCTAAATATCCAGGAGCAATAAAGACTTATGATTTTTCACTTTATAATCAATAGATAGACCCCCCTACCAAAACCTCTGATGCAGGGGCTATGAAATTTGTGAATAGACACTCTTGTTAATAATAATTATGTACTGAAAATGTTTAATTGTTAACGGACGACGCACATCAAACAACGCACGACGGCGGACGAAAACAGGAAGCAATAGGTCACCTGAGTGACTCAGGTGACATAAACAAAACTAGCACATATGATTCAAAATAAAGTATGAATATGCAAACGTTTACTTTAATTGAAATTGGGGAAGTACATTCATTTTATATAGCATATCTTAATTTTAGTGATATTCAAAAAGTGAAAAAAATGGAATTATATCTTAAATGTTGAAGCACACATGAAATAACATATCACTCAAATCAACTGAAACTACTTCTGTATTATAATATCTTCATGATGTTCCTAGAAGTATATGTTGACTAGGTATTTATTCCACTATTCTCGCTCTCTACCTGAGATTTTTACTGAACTCACCATAAAACCGACACATATACTTAGTCTAGTATTAAGATATATACATGTGATAAAGATATAATTCATTATCTTATACATATGCTTATGTCCGTAGATGCTAAGTCATATTAATTGGTTAAAACAATCAGTTAAAATAATCAGTTGATACCAAAAGTACTATTATTAAACCTTTTACTAAAAAATATTTATTTGAGAAATTATTGTATTTGACAAAATAATTTTTATTTTTGATATGTTCGATGCGCACTGAAATATTTGTGGGACATGTTTATGACCTTGTTTTAGTTAATACTCTAATCCAATGAAACTTAGGTTAAAAAGTTTTAATTTACTCCTGTATCGTGGGATTTCTGTAACAACCTCCTCCGCTTTCAAGTTTCTTTCTGTTTCTTCGTACAGTCTGTCTTAAATTTAGGCCTTGACTCTTTCTTTTTTCATAGTGTCCTATGTGGCTCTTAACCATATTATCTTTTCTCTTTTCTGCACTTTCTTCAATTACAGATTCATTGCAGTAAATGTCTTCTTCTTTATCTGAAATTTTATTTAAGTTAGTATCATCATTAGCCATAGGAGACTTTGCAAGTTCTTTAATTACAGATTCATTGCAGTAAATGCCTTCCTCGTTAGCTGAAACTTTACTCAAGGTAGTATCATCATTAACCATAGGGGACTTTGCAATTTCCCCGATATCTTTCTTGATATCGTGTGTCTTTCGTTTGAAAACTTTAGTTATTGCTAAGATGTGGAGTAAGGTCTCGTGCCTATGCATAAGCATTTCCACGAACTGCAACAACAAAAGTGTGGTGAAAACAACTAAGAACACGAATCCAAGTGGTTCAATGGTAATTGTATCTGTTATTTTAATGTTGATGATATATTTTACTTCGTTCATTGCTGTCAAAGTAGCCAACCACAGTGCATTAAGGAAGAAAAATCCAAAAGCCACTTTGTTTCTTAATTCAGAAAGCATTTCTTTGTCTTTGTCTACTTTTTTCTGATCTTCCTCTAATGGATAAAGGTAATGACGAATTAATCCCTTCCAGAATTCCTCTTCCTTTTGATCTAATGTGGATATTTTCGTGTTTCTCACATCTTCTAACGCCCATGATGTGTCGTCCAGTTGATTTGGATCAATCTTTGGTATTCTGCGTCGCCTGCTTTTGAGAAGTGATTTTTTGCTAATTGCCTGATCAGATCCTTGATCTGTTTCGTCCTTACTTTTTTCGAATATATTTTGGACAGCTTCCAGAGATTTCAGAATAACAAGATTATTCATCCAACGGAATACGGAAAAGAATGCTTCTGAACAAGAAGCCCCTGAAACATTTGTATTTTTTACTTGTTTTATCATTCCACTTATCATTTCCGTTGTAACAAAATCTATTTCCTCTTCCGTCTCCCTCTTTTAGCTCTTTTTACCATTTTGTCCGGCATTTTCCAAGACTGCTGTTTTATTTTCTCTCGTACCCCAAGATACATTATTCAAATTACAAATAGCATAAATTACCAAGAAAAGATATCCTGCCGGAATACAAATTAAGTAAAGAGCTCCACAAATAAGATCAACGAATTCGTGCGGATGAAGGAGGCCAGCAATGAGAAATGTGCCAACAAGAATATAGAAAAACATTCCTGTGGGAGTATACCAGCCTTCACCAGCAATCGACACCAGTGTCCCTATAAATACTGCCATCATTAATAGAGCGTAAATGGCACTTAAAACCATTGCCCAATTTAGTTGCGTGTCTGTTTTACATTTTAAACAAATAAATATGAAGAGTAGTGTTGGACCATATGTCAAAAGATAGGTCAACCAAGGCGCTACGCCAAAGATTGAAGCAACGGCAGACTCAAGCGCCAGCAAAACAGTTGAAGGACCCAAAACCGATGATACAAATAAGATAATTTGATAAAAAATGTAGAAGTATGAAATATTCGGGTTCATTTTCGTTGTACGGGCGCAACTTTGTAACAAGTCCAAAATGTTGGCCATTGTAGAGGGCATCCAGCGTCTTCTCTGGTTGAAAAACTCTTTAAACTCTTCCGGGGCAAATGTTATGGCTTCTGCTGCTGCACAGTATTCAATTTTGTATCCTTGTTGCAGCATAAGAGTACAAAGCCACCGATCTTCGCCTGTAATAATATATAAATATTTTTTAAATATATATATATAGGTAAAGTTATTTATGTGTTAAGATGAAGGTTTTGAATGTAAAAATCTTTCTGGAGGAGAGTCGATAATCCAGCTCCATTCTCAGCATTTTTAATTTTAAAATTTCTATGACATCTCCCCAAAGATGATATATATTCATACTCAAAAATGTTCATTTTAGACAAGACTATTTTTGGTTTGCAAGTAGTTCAAGGTACCAGTGAAATATCACAGTGTACCATCTGCAGTCGATCACTTCACTGAACAACTAACTATTGCATCATTTTTGGTATATTATATTGCAACCTAGATATCAAGTCATAAACTCGACACAATACACTTAAACTTACGCAGTACAGTTAAGGTGCCAAGTGGAAATATCGGCGATATTTTTTAGATAGTAAATAGATTCGTTTCAAGGTTTTAAGACTTTTTTTAATATCGGACAAATTAATGTTGTTCAGAACTATATGTTGAAGATGATGAGATTTTTAATTAAGACTTGTCACGTGATACGGTAGTCACTACAAAATATACTTGCAATATTGAGGTCATCTATAAATTCCAATATTGCAAGGCATAACCATGTTAAAATCTAGGATTAATTTATTATTATTTTCAACACTCTTTGTAGTTTGTGAAATGTGCTGCGAGCCTCGGTAGATTCTACTTATATAATTGTTAAAATTACATAACTTATACCTCTTGTTGAATATTTGGTGGTTAACAAGATTGAATATAAAGATATAATTAATTCATTTGCAATAATTCATCAGGTTCGCAGAACTTTTCAAATATCTCGATACTTCTTGAGTTTAAGTGTAAAAGCTTGTCATGATCCATTGAGGATATGCCTTTGTAATATTTCGATTTATTAAGACCCTTCTATTACCCTCCAATAAATAAAACTTGTCCATGGAATGCAGGGAAAGTATATGAATAAAATCATTAAATAAACATCGCAACCAAGTTAATGCCCTAGCTGTTATATATCTGTATATGTATATTGATTACAAAATGCTTTTTCATTGTAAAAAATATAACTTGATCCGCTCTCGCTACGTCAAATTTTACGATATGACGTCACATTGACAACTGCATTGCCATCAGTAAATTGTTTTTTTTATTGCTGTGTGGGATTTAACTAACAACAAAAAAGTGCATTTTTAAATTTCGGACAGTCTTTATAAGGCCAGATTGGTTTTGATTAATTAAAAAAATCCAATTAAGTTCTCAAAAAGGTTAAAAGTATCCTTTATAACTCCAATTTATCAGTTATATTTACATTCCTATGTATCAAATATTAGGGATGGGTATCGGCAAAAATTTCGTATCGTGATATATCACGATTTTCCCCCCAAAAATATCACGATAAATCGTGATATTTTTACACGCATTTTTTACTACAATTTCAAATGAATTTCCATAATATTTCTTAAAAATATGCTATAAAAACATAACTTTACCTTTTAAATTTTCATTTATTTAATATAAAGCATGTTTTGATGCCGTTGTTTAACTGTTTAAAATATTTTTTACACTTCCTCTTATTGTCATTCAATAGTTTGAACAAATAAATGAATAATTTCCGGAATTTATAGTTATGTACCAAATACCGGTATTTTAGTCTCCGCATCACGATACGTATCACGCAATAAAAAATCGCGATATACCGGTATACCGATAAAATCACGCATCCCTATCAAATATGTACCTTGGTCATATTGGAGGAAATGGCGTGCCTCGGTGGGTAATTTTGCGTACGTTCTCATCACATTATCATCCATAAGAGCTTTCACTCTAAACAAACTGAAACATCCAGGACTGCAAAGTACGCATCCAAACATATGTTCAGCCGACTTCTGAAGCCAATGACCTATTGCGTACTCAAAACGTTGATACCAGACCACAGGACCTGTTTATGCAACATCACATTAAGTGAAAAAAAGAACAAAGTCTGTGCTATTTTTAACAAAATTGTTTCATTTTCAACTTACACTTGTATGATAGATCACAATAGATTACAGAATAAAAAAAGAAAAATGCATTGACATTTCATATTCAAACATTTTGTAACTTGTTATTTCTTAATATTATAGCTGTATATAACGGGCTTGCTATGTATAATTACCTGAACCTCCGGGTTTGATTCGCCCACATGTTGCTCCAACTTTGGGGTTTATCTTCATACGGTCTATTAAAAGCCGAAGAGCTTTAGGTTGGAAGTCCACATCACCGTCAAGTGCCAGAATGTAGGTATTTTCAGCCTATTTAAAAATTTTATATCTCGAAAGTTGCAAAATAATTTTATATCTCGAAAGTTGCAAAATACATTATTTATTGTGAAAAAATGTGTCATTATCCTGAATAAAAAGGTTTATAAATTTATTTTTTAACAAATAACAGACATTTAAATATAGATACTCGCCTTTTGCCTCACGTCTTCAGACAATAAATCAAATATTGAGGGCACGTCATCAAAATCTGTATTGGGTTTGATTATTGGGTTTTTTTCTTTCATGAGAAGTTCGTATCCAATGAAATAGTACATGTACATAATCTAGTCAAAAATATTTAAATATATTATTCTGAATTATTTGAATTTTAAAAGCTCAAAAGGTTATTATAACTTGGGTTCTGATTTTATACTACTGATGTATAAATAAGATTTCAGATTATATTTCTGAAATATATTGTTTGTAAGCTTACTTTTTTATCTGCACAAAATTCATAAAATAATCAGAAAACAAGAAGTCGTAATAGCTGTGTCTATCTACCTGAGACCACCTTTTCTTATGCCGTATTTTATCCTTATCTTTGAGGTGAACTATTAGCTTATTTTCTCCCGGAAGTTCCCATTCCAATCGGCCACCATATGGTGTGACATATTTTTGGGGCGGATCCAGTTCAATCTTTCTCCGATAAAAGGCACTTTGAATGAAAATAAATTCAGATGGGCTGTGTGGACAGATATGTGTCAGAATATTTGATATTCAACATACACTTACCTGGCAGCTTCATCCACGATTTCCATGAACTGCCGGACAAAATCATTGGGACCTCTTGTTTGCGTTGTTTTATTAGTTTCCATGGCATCATCAAATGGAATGTGAGCTTTTCAACATAAAACTGACCATAATGTTTTAACAATCTAATGACTTTTTTCCAGGGGGTGGGGTGTACCCTTTGATATACCGTGATTGCTTATTTGCAGTGAATTGGGGAAAAAAATCAGAGATAAAGCCTTTCTTATATTTTATTTCTTTTTTCAATTATGGCATACTTTTGACTATCTAAACTTACCTTCAAATGTATAATAATCTTTTTCATTGTTCCCCAGTTCATTTTTGCTATACTCGTATTGGAACTGGTGGTGATCAAGTCTACAATCAAAACAATCTGTGCGTATTATTTTTATAATATTCACATTTAAGCTTAGTACATTTAAATTTTGATTTCAGTTTAGGTATCTGGCATAATTTACGGAGGTATGCATAATTTAAATGACGACAACAAAATTAATATGCTTAATGATTAATTCTCTTCAAATATATCATTTTGTCCATAAGAAGGTTTTTCAATTTTATCTGTTTATTTCTTTACAAGCTTGGGCAATACTGTTCATTTTTACTGCATATCTATATCTTTGATTTTTCATAGTACCTAAATATAGATATCAGAATCTGCTTCATCTCAATCCGATTTTCGTGCCACATGGTGGCGCAGATATAAACCTTGGAGTCTACGCAAGATGTCTCTGTTTTAGTCTCTGTCTCAGAAGTGTTTCTTTTCTTCCGGCTGTGTAACAGTGCAAGATCCAGCATTGGGCTACAGAACAGTGGTAGAACAAACAGTCTAGACAAGAAAACAGTGATAGCATATGCGAGATATAAAGTGAGACTAAACAATAAGTATACACGTTAGAAATGAAAACAATTCGAAAACAAATTTAATTCGTGATATAAAATCTACTGACTTGTTTGCAAATTCCATGCGCTCCTCCCGCTGCCAATACCAAGTATGACGACAAAGCCAGGATTGACCAATCCATCCAACGAAAAAGAACGCAGCTAGTAAAGACGTATTGTCTGCTTTCAGTAATAAATATCCTTCCTCAAAGCTCTTGTCTGTTTGATTAAGTACAAGCAATAGGATTATTTAAAGGGGTGTTGCAAGAGTAAGTGGAAGTGCAAAACCCCATTTCTGCATGCGTAGTCTACTAGCTAGAACGCCGAAATCGGTTGTCAATACTGCACCAATCGTATGAGCCAGATATGTGCCAATCACAAGCCAGTATGATATTCCTTCGTCATTGCACGTGACATTTTTTTTAACTGTCAAGTTTGAAAAATTAAGAGATTCGGAGCAATTTATGGGGAGTAGTCCTGAAACATTTGTCAATGACATGAATCTATAGTATGTATTCCTAATTCCTCGAATATTAGGACAATAAAATGTTGGGAAAAGAGCAATCAAAAGACCTATTCTAAAGATACTTGATGACAAATGCGAAATCACGTATCCTTTGTCTTTAACTCGTTTATTTGTTCTCTGTTCAATGAATCTCCTGCAAAAGAAGGAGTATGTTTCGATCCACCTCACCGACAACAATACCGCTGATACCAAAATCCAGGCAATGAGCTCTCCTTTGTTTGGTCAACGTTTTGCATTTTTAATTTCACTGGACTGAATGAGGGTGTATGGCACAATAATGACAGCAGGTAAAAGTAATATTAAGAAGAATACATTTAAAAACTTTATGACTCCTTTACGAGAATGGCATGCTTTTCTGTGGCAGTATGACACTAAGTTGACTAAGGCCGGTACAAAGGGCACGGATATTGTTACAAGACACGTCTGTAGTGGGTCAAGGTAAGGCATGACCTTGAAAAGCAGACATCCAAGGCCAAAAAGATGACAACCCTCTCGTATGTGTATCTTAAAGAAATGTTCTACTCTATCAAAAGTTGCAATTATATAACACATTTTGAAAATAAACTTGGTTACGAGTAAATGTGATACACTTGTCACTAAAACTAATATCGTCTTTATTAAAACTTTTTATTAAATTGCTACGACTTAAGAAAATTCAGAATTTTGCATCAAAGAAAACTTACCAATACAAAACGCACACACGTTGGACTACCAAAAAGAAACATGAAAAAAGTTTGCAAAATTTTGAGAGCATCAGGTATTGCGATCACAAAGAAAAGTAAGAAATAAAATCCTGGGTAATGGTTCTCTAAAAAAAAAAAGAAAGATAAGAAAAAATATTTTCAACATCCTTCGTCAAAATTCATTCAGAAACGTACGAGTTAATCTTAAGACATTTAGTATAGGTATAATCAATTACGTAAATGATTTACGAAAATAAACGTTCTGGATCTAACTCAGAGGAGAAACTATTGTGGTGATTGTTTAAGATCTTTATCTATTAACCGAATGTGTTTATTTAATCTCAACGTCCGTAAGATAATGAAATAATGTAGCTAGGCATGTTTACATTTGTGTATAAATAACAATTTGCAAAAAATTTTACTCAGCTACCATATGTATTTTAAATATGTGTTTTATTTCAAGAATATTTAAAATTTATTTATTTCTATTTGTATTATGCTAAAACTTAAAAAGAAACTGTAGAATGAAGCTCGATAACCATATTTGCAAATCTTTTTTCATGGTCGCCAAGCAGTGACGCCAGAATTTGTAGCCCGCCTCGGGTGACAATAACGCCACCTATTAACGCAAACAACAGGAAATTGTAGAAAAGGAACTTGAAAACTCTGAAGAACTTGTCGGTAAACCCTACACAGCATTTGGAATCCTCAGGTAGTCGGTCCTTCCGGAAAATGTTCCATACGTTATTGTCATCCTCAGGCCTGTAAGGGTTTTTGTTAGAGTAACCTGTTCCTACTCGGGATTCATGCAACATACCATTTAGACCATTGTTATATATTAGAGATAATAAAATTAACACTTTTATATTCTTGTTAAATTTTTATAAATAATCTTAAGAGCGATTTTCTAAAGAGCTCCCCAGAAGAGGTTTTTTTTCCCTCATTTTTTTTTCCAACTCTCTGCAATTCCATACCCGCTTTCCAAGTAACTCTATAGTTTTAATAGTCGAACAATGTTTAAAATATCATTTCCCTTGAGAGCATAACTATTGATACTTAATAAATCATATTTCATATATAATTCTCGTACCTGTGTTTCGTATCCCCATTTCCAACTGATTCTACGTCTATTTCATCCATTTCTACGTCTGTCGCAGTCATACCTATAATTCTACTTGATAGATTTAATATGCTTTTAAATAGACTTTATGTGATAATGAAGACAATACATCAAGGTTGGAGTTACTATGGTTAGGATGAAAATCCAGGCCCGTAGGAAGCAATTTCAGTTAGGGGCGGCACAACCAAATATTTTCAGCTTGGGGTGCACTACCAAAAGAAATTCCTTGGCAAGCAAAAAAAAAGTGCTATGTTTCCTATTGTATACTATATATCGGCAAAATTTTTTTATTGGGGGGAGGGGGGCACAGACAAGTGCTCAGTACTTTGTAGGGAGAGGGCGTAATAAGTTTTTTGAACTTGTGACCATTACCTTTGTAATTAGAAATTAAAATAAAATATGTTCAAACCAAAGATCCCTAACTTTTACTTCTTAGTTCTGAGCGCTTAGCGAAGGAACATTTGCTTATATTTCTTATTGAGAGAGATTTTTCGTGGCCAGGCTCAAGACTCAAAGAACATAAATTGAGAACAGGCTAAAGTCAAAATTTTAATTTTGAATATCTTTATTTTTATTTCACATACATGCTTAGGAAGTTGCAAGTTCTTCATTATTCAAATACAAATTCATGATGATAATTTTTTTATTACCAAAATTATTATTAAAATTATATCGATCTGAAATTTTGACATAAGTCTGTTCTCAGTTGATGATCAAGACAAGGATTTGAACCCTTAACCTTCCGATCACGGAGCAAGCTCTCCACCCGCTGAAATACTCTGAAGATCTAAATGATATTTAAAAAAAATTGGTATAACAGTTGATTTGAAAGATGTCAGTCAAAATGCAATCCAACGATAGGTTGTATTTGCAATCAAATTCATTATAACGACCAAAGAATTTGCAAAATGTAGACTTTAAGGGATATTTGAAACCCTGTAACATCATTTTCTTTTCTAGTAGCCTGCCTGTTAAAAATTTATCGTACCTGGAGCATGCTCTAAAGCATCGAGTCAGTTGGGAGACATTTATGTCATATGCGAGTGATCGTGGAATATTACCACATACATGAAATATGTGGAAATAACGAACAGTATTCGAGCTCAAAAGTCCATTAAACATTACAAAATAAGAGCAGAGCAAACACGGACCTCTAAGACATCATATATGTAAATAGGGAAAGTTGACAATGGAAAAACTGAAGTCGCTCCGTTTGTCATATAGTTTGGTTATTACTTGGCCATTAACGTCTAAAATCGGTATAAAATCCAATATTATGAAGCTGATACGGTGGACTCTGTGATATCATTCATTTTGAGTTCACAGGGATATATGGAGTTGACATTTTAATGAAAATAACCATTATTTTTAATTGTTAACACGTCCTCAATATATCGAAATGTCGATTTGAAAAAAGGGATAATGCTGAAAGTTTGTGTGATATTTATTAGAGTCCGTGAATTGGTGCAAGATAATGAAAATAGGACAAAATTTCATGGAATTTGATATTCTCTCTGTGCCATTCTTAAGCTAGGCTCAACAAAAGTTGAATGTGTCTTATTTATTCCTAAATGCTTTAAAAATAAAAATAGATTTTTTTTTAAATTCACAAACATAAACAAGCATTCTGAGAGTATTGCATTAGCAATACACGTAATAGTCCCCTACTAAGTGTAATCTGGTTCCCGTTAAAAATTGAAATTCCATTAATCCGTCAAAAATCAATGAAGCGGAACGAAATGCAAACTTGATCTATAACTCGTCAAGGTAAAGTCACATACCAAAAAGTCAGCTCAATATCTGCAGGCGTTTAGAAAAAAATTGCGGAAAACCCTGAAAAATTGAAAAGGCCGTAATCCCGTCAAAAATCATTGAAGCGGAACGAAATGCAAACTTGATCTGTAACTCATCAAGATACACTCACATACAAAAAATTAGCTCAATATCTGCAAGTGTTCAGAGAAAAAAAATGTATTAAAAAAAAAAAGTGGGACAGACTGACAGACAGACAGAGGGACAGCTAGACAGACAGACAGACAGACAGCTAGACAGACGGACGGACAGACTCAGAGGAAACCTTTAGTCCCCTCCGGTTTCACCGGTAGGGGACTAACAACAATCAGCCCCTACTAATCAGATCATTAGCCAAAGATTGGATTACAGAAAAAAAAATTGGTCAGTATACGTGTACATGAAATTAAATACGTAAATGTAATGCCTCAATTCAATATACATATAATATAGAATTTTTTGTATTATTTTCATTTTTTACCTTAATAATTTAATATCACTGATTATTTCTATTTTTATCATTATTTTGTACTACACGTATGTGTTTGTGGTTTAAGTGCAGAGTTAGGCAGTAGATTAATTGGTTCAATTGTAAAGAAGGTCAACATGACATGTATTCCTTTTGTTTATAAACTATAACACATAGATCAGGCACGGTAACCATAAACACATTCAATCATTCGGACATATAAGATATTTCGTATCAAACGAATATAGCCGGCCGAGGCATAAAGAATTAGATATGTCAGTTGAGATTTTAATTAATTTACTCATAAAACAATGGTCGCGTGTTGTCCGAATGAATCCTTATCACATGGGTGCTGGAAAGGTCGACAAGTTGTGAAAATGTCATGGAAACCGGTTCTGGGGTATAAAACGGCAGTGCGCGCCCTGACAACCTCAGTTGCGGTTTCTTGTTAATAAAATATCTGAACTTTTTATTCAACTTGTCTTCCTTTAAGGTACGTATGTTTTATTGTATAAATATATATCTAAGTATATTCATCATTTTAGAATCGGTGTAATGCTAATAAATTGTTTACTTGAAACTGCTTTGTAAAATTATTATGAAACAGAATTCTGTAAAAAAGAGAAAAAGTTTAAATGTTCATAATTGTTACTTATTAATATTTTTATTTTCAGAATGTTTTGTTAAATTATTACTTTGATTTTTATTTGAGTTGCGGTTTCTTGTTATTAAAATATCTGAACTTTTTATACAACTTGTCTTCCTTTAAGGCCAGCATACAGAGGCTGAACACAAGTTGCTCATATTTGGACCCTCACTAGCTGAGCGAGGACAATATAAATTAAACACAACAATTCAAACTATAACACATACCCTAGACATCAAACGTTGTTCGCTTTGCAGTAAGATAAAAGCTGAGTTACATTTTTCGTTGAGAGAAAGGCAGACAAACACAAAGTGCAAATTCATCTACCTGAATTTATGATGTGTAAACAAAACAGTATAGACAGATAAACTGATTATTTTTTAATCTACATATTTCTGAATATAATCGATTGATTGATTGATTGTATGTTCTTTAACGTCCCTCTCGAGAATTTTTCACTCATATGGAGACGCCACAACTTGCCGGTGGAGAGCTGCAAATTTTGTCCTATACTCGGCACTAACGGCCATTGAGCAGTGAGGGATCTTTTTCGTGCCAACACCTACTGCGACACGGGACCTCGGTTTATACGGTCTCATCCGAAGGACCGGTCTCCACGTCCCACAGTGGGATTCGAACCCGCGACGTAAGGATCAACTCCTTACTTCGCGACTCTAGAGCAGGCGCTCTAACCACTGCGCCACGCGGGCGACGAATATAATCTTTATTATATTCATTATCTACGTGAGAACACGTGAGAACATATGTTTATATATATTTTGCATTCTGTTTAAGGCTCATCCTATATTATTTGGCCCCTCGTAGTTTAATGCTCTAATGTGTATAATTATGAGCAATTATTCAAATCTTGATTACTTCAAAGCTACATCATTTTTTTCGTTAAAGCTGCAATTTCTTGTTTATTTTTACAGGAAATGAATACATAAAACTGTGTATCTCAAGAGAATGAATCATGTTTAATCAAAGAGGACCAAAAGAAAGAGCCGAATTTGAAAATGATTTCACAGGTTTCCTTTGTATCAGTGGCAAAATTGTTCAAGAGGGTACCATAAAAGAGTGTCAATTTTTAGATATTACAAATTATATAAATTTTGGGTTGATTTAGTGGTATTCATTTCTGAATTTTTACAATACATTTCCTAAAGTCCCCAAACAAAAATTTACTTTAATTAACTATAATTTACTATAGTAAATAATTTAATACTTTGATTTACTATGGAACTTTACTCTAGAATTTTTTGGAGACTTAAGATAGTACAAAACACTCATTAAATCTATTTTAACTAATTTCTTAAAAATTACATGAGAAAAAAGAATAATATCCCTATATTGTCAATAATCAATGATCTTTGTAAGAAAAATAATAAGCTTTGACATGTTTTCGTAATATTTTTTTTTAAAGAGACATCCTATATATATTGGTCACTTGGGAGCTTACATTTTAGAATGTGTTTATGCTGTCTAAATGCGATAAAACAGTCTGTTATTAAATGCAGTGTAACTTTTAATCCATAAATAGTAGAGGGCTGATATTTGGATATATATATGAGGAGTCTTCATTCTTTATCTAGAATAAAGGTCAAGGTCATATTAAAAGGTCAAAGGTCAAATATTGTGACATCATCTACTGAATCTTTCACTTTTTTGTCATTGAATTTTTTTTAATAGCCAAAATATCTGAAACCATCGATTCAGTTTTCTGTATTTTGACATTTTTATCTGTGATCCATTTCAATCAATCTGTTGATTTTTTGTAAAAATTGAATCATACATTTTCTCCTAAGAGAACTTAAAGTGTAGCATATTTACGTGTGTATTTTTTAATTCCGGGGCTACGTATGTCCTAGTTTTACATCATATCTTACCAATTTTACCAGTATCAATATATTTTACTGAATTTTAGTATAAAAAAAATTGCCTTTATAAAAAGCATCACACAAGTTTGCAATAGATCAATTGATAATTTTTAAATAAGGTACATTCAATAGTCTGATTTCACAATTTTCTTTCAGGAGTCTGATAAGCCATCTTTCAAACTATGTGGGCAAAAATGTGCGGTTGAATTTCTTTCATATTAAATATAAAGAAAGGTTTTGTATCCTAGAACAAAATAT